TAACGTCGAATAGTTGCCACGCTGTCTTTATCTGATCCTTCTCTTCTATTTCCTTTCCCGTCCATCCTCAATGGCGGGACACTCTAAAGTCCATTCCATCCCCACCCTTCGCGCTCAGCACGGCAGCATTTGCGCCTAGGAAAGTGGCTTGTAGAAATCCTGACCACGCTCCAAAAAGTCTGCAGCGTTATAACACAGATACGCGGTAGCGCAGGATAACACAATATCAGACGTATATGCCTATCTACCTACATGTTCCCATCCAAAAGAAAACCTACGGCCCACGTCCAGTCCTTCACTCTTTAGTCCTCCCACACAAACACAACCCAGCCATCCGAAGAACCCATACACATGCTCCAAGCCCAACCTAATCTAACATGCCAATACACCGCAACCACACACGCACCCATCAACTAGAGAATATCCCTGCCTATATACTAGCCGATCCTCCTGCTAAACCACTCAGGCACTCGACTCGCAACCCGCCGTTGCATCAAGCAGACAGACGGCCTCGAAAACAAAAAAGGAGACCGGGCCAAGTCTTGCGATTTGCGTCTTGTGGCATGGGAGGGCAGGAGACGGAGGATGTTATAGCATTTGTGTGTGCCAGTGACGTGTATGTCATATATAGTCCCCAGTTCCCTTGTGATATCGGAAAATCTCCGCTCCACACGATGGGGGACGTCGAATGTGTCATTGTATCTGGTGGCTATGGCAGGGTTGAATGAGATTTGGCCAGCGTCTTGCATTATACTAGCTCTGGACAGCGAGGGACATGTTTTTCACGACTCAGTGAGACAGGCCTGCTATAGGTATACAATCTCCATCATACGGGGCAATTCTTCCTTATAAGATCCCAACGCATACCGTAGACTCTGCAGTCAAGTCTCCACACGCAAGCGCTAATCCAACAATGACATGCCACAGTGAAGACAGCTCAACGTGTGAATGCGCCGACGACCGTAACTAACATATACCATTCTGGCCCCTGTATATAACTCAAGCGATTTCCAAAACGTTGGGGTGTTAAACAGCGCCTACGCTTTCCCTTCCCTTCACCCTCCTCTTCCTCACTGCAGTGCATCCGCCGCGCAGAAGTCCCGCACCGGTGCCGATGATGAATAGGGCTTTCATTGCAATCTGGATGCCGCAAATCATCTCCTTAACGCGCGAAACATCGTGTTGAAAGAATGGGGTCTTGCGGTACCGTTATAGCGAGGACGATGTGGGCTAGTGAACGGATATAGACAGCCACGTGTGTATGTAAAGTATGTACGCCGCGTTGAGTTTAGAGAGGCTGTGGAGGGGAAGGAAGAGGGTGGAGGGATGAGGTTAGTACAGTGCCCTGGAGTTGGGAGTATTGCGGTGAGGATGTTGGGGTGTTGCTTTGGGGCAGATACATAGGGTTTGGTGTGGCGTGGGTAAGGCTTTGGGCGAGGTATTGGTACTGCGGCGTTGAGATGGAGGGAAGTCATATATCAATTACGGTGTGGAATCGGGTGGGACTTTGTTTCCTCGGACAAAGTGTGCTTAGTCGTGGCTAAGTTGTGTCCTTGGCGCAAATGCGGTGAAGGAGTCGAGCATTGCTTGAATACGGGACAAGTTGTATGCTTTGGTGGGCATAATTTCGCCTGTTAGACCATCTGAGAGACATCAAAGCTCATGTTCAACACAGCATATGGATATTCACGGCCTTTGAAGAGCCGATATTCAGCGCTGCTTTTACTTCAGCACCAACCTTGCAACCTCGACACTGTCTTGTCTAACCACATTCCAACACCGCCATATCAGCTTCACCACCACATGTCCCAACGGTCCCTCCAAATCGAAAGAAAATGAAATCCCCTAACACCACCCCACTCACGCATCTCCACCATCTACCCAGACCCTCGCACACATCTCTCCAAACCACCTACACTACCCACCACTTCGCACCCACCCTCCCCCGTACCCAAACCAAACTACCTAACTCAAACTACTCGACATCACCCACCTACCAACACACATGCCCACACACCGCCCACTTGACGCCATCACACCGCTTACTTGACACCATCACACCGCCCACTTGACGCCATCGCGCAGATCCAGACTGCAGTCCAATCGCCCAGCGTGCCTAGACATCATACCGTCGTCACACGCGGGTGTGTCGCCGTCGCCGGCTCGAAGCCTAGGTTCCCTGGTGGTAGCGTTGACGTAGTGTGGCGTAAATGGTGGGATAGGGCGCAGGGAGAAGGGGAGAAGGGCGTGTGTGTGTATGTGTGTGTATGTATGTGTGTGTGTGTGTGTGTGAGGAGATAAGGAGGAGGAGAGGAAGCTAAAACTGATTGGATTCGTATTTCGAGCGCTCAACTATGTGTACTGTAAATCTGTGTATCTAGACATGTCTGCATACTCGATTTGAGAAACAGCACAGCAAAGGGGTCAGAGAGGGGGGAATGATACCTAACCTAGCTAGGATCCGGCAACCAGACTCCCCTCTTTCCCTAGTGTGTACGCGGGCGTCAGGTACAAGTCTGAGGGTCAAAACTATGTCATCTGGACAACAAGAGGGTGCTGGCGCATCGAGCAAGGTCACAATGATCAACCCGTCGTAGTAGTGTATGACCCTTTCCGCCCTCGCTACCGTTAGCCAGGCCCACAGGAAATCCTGTACCGAGCAGACAGTAGTGCCCACAATTAGCACAGTCACAGTACAGTCTCTAGCCCACGTCCACATGCTTAATTCTTTAATTCTAATTCCAATGTCCACGTCCACGTCCTCATTCCCCACAAGCAGTCTAAAATTACACGCCCTAGTTGCGCTAGCTACCGTACCGTATAGTTACCTACCCACCTACCCACCTACCTACTTACCCACCGTATCGCGTATCGAACTGCGAATCTCGCACAAACACACCCGCCCTGAAAGTCCTGTACACTGGGCAACCCGGGCACCCGCCCTACGCCCCAACCCCATCGGATAACAACCTCCCCCTCCCCCTGATCCGCATTCGGGCAACCCAACCCACTCTTACCGGTACCCCTAAAAAACGTGGTCACATAGACATATCCGCCAGCTTATGGCCGCACAGGACCCTGAGAACCGCCGATTCATCAGCCGCATAGCTCGTGGTCGTGGTGGTGCGCAAAGGGGGGCGGGGGCATCAGATCTAAGAAGTTGGAAAATGGGGAACGGGTTTCGTGGTTGATGATCTCAGGCAAAAGCGCGCAACTCCGGGCGTCGTGGTTGGCCGGGATGGAATCTGAAAGGGGCGATCGGCCGGGCCGATTCGGGGTTGCTGACTGGTCAGTTGGATTGCGCACCATCTGCAAAGGCACGGCACAGCCCGATGGCATGGTGGGCGGATGTGGGCATGCGAAGCTTAGCTGCGACCAAAGGCATCGCCATGTATTTTGCTGTTGGGCTGTGGTTGACATTTGGGGGAAGCTGCATGAGAAGGTGAGATGTGGTTGACATGTGGTAACGGTTTTTTGATTATCGCTGTGGAGAATGTGATCTGCTGAAGAATAGTCTTTTTGCTCGTGGGGGTATCTGTAGTGTATGTACTTCCGACTCTGATTATGTTTGTACAATGAGCGTCTTGCAATATGAATGGGCTGTGCAGAAATGCAAAAAGTGGTCGCGACCACCTATCCATCATGATAATAAACGAGGCAAATTTTTTGAGATGCTTTGTGAGAAACCAATGCAATGATTGAGCATGAACAGGAAGAAAGTGATGGTGGAAGAGAACACTGCATCTATACTTAAACTCCGTATGCGCAAACGCCTAAGGAACGGAAAACCAAGGGCTGAAAAAACTAAAAACTGAAACAGGCGCCGGAATGATTCTGAAGCTGAAGGGCAACGCATGTAAATCATCTGCCATCAATATGTCCATGAAGTGAGTGGTCTTATTCATAAAAAGAAAACGAAGTCTAAAGTCTTCCAGTCTCTGCACAGCGCATTGAAGCGACGCTAGTAGCCGTTGTGAGAGGCCGAATACTTTGATTCTGGTGTGTATTTCTGGTCTGTGACATAGTACGAGTGCGGATGGGGTGCTGAAGGATACGGCTGTTGATTGTAAGACTTCAGACTAACAGGGGCCGATGATCGCCGTGGCGTGTCGGGTTGTTGCGAAGCAAGTTGAGCTGTTTGCTGGTCCGATGGCGAGCTTTGGGGCACAGGAATATGAACATCGAATGTAGACGACTGCGGTACGGTGTATTGAGAGGACTCTGCGTTGTGCGCAGGCAAAGAAGGCGCGTACTGCGAAGCCGAGGATGATTGTGTGTATGGAGGTGCCGTGGTCGAATGCGTGTAGTCAGAGCTGTAGTGTCGCGGTGTCTGTGGCTGCGATGGGTACTGAGAGGCAGCGACCTGCGCAGGGTATTGGGAGCTCGCTGAGTGCGGTGATGGGTAATGTTGAGGAGGCGAAGGGTGGCCGTAATGCTGAGTCGAGGACCGCTGAGTAGAATACGTATGCGTTGAACCTTGATGCGCCGAGTAGGGCGCGTTCGAGTATTGTGAAGCAGTGGGTGACGTGTAATGCTGGGGGCTATGGTGACCAGATGTATATTGCGAAGACTGCGGCCCATGCCAGTAATCTGGGACCTGAAGGTGGAGGGGCGTGTGGGCCGACATTGCGCCCTGTACGCCGACAGCTTGACTCCCGTTCCCAATCATGTGGTGCTGCAGGTGGCTAGGCTGGATGTGATGGGGATAGCCTCCAACAAGAGGCATATCCTTACTCTCCTCGTCCTCAAGGTTGAACTTCCATCCATTGAGAAGCTCTGGCCTTGGTCGAATGTCCGCTAGCTTTGGGTCTTGGTAAGGTCGTTTGAGCTTGCCACTGACCACATCTTCCAGGCTATAGTAGGAAATCACGTGGTGATGCGTGCCCTGATACTTGACAGAGATGGTCTTCTTCATCAGACCCCCCTCTTTGAATTCATAGCTGTCGATCAGGGAGCCACAGAATCGTCTTTGCTGCTCAGGAGAAAGACTCTGGGCAAAGTTGGCGTACACCTTGTTTAGCGAGTTTGCGTCGCCTGCTAGGCCATTGTCGAATGCACCATTCTCGTATTCATCATCGGAACCGTTTAGGCCTTCGGCCGTCCTCGGGGTGACCAGGCCAGAGCAATCTTTGCGCTTTCTCTTGGTCCCGCACGAAGGGTTCAGGGCTGATTTCTTCTCTTCAGGCTTCAAGGCTCGAACCAGTTGGCGATAGATGAGGCAGTTGTTCATGACTCGACTTGGGGACCAATGCACAGCGTCAGTCCATCGCTTGATTCCGGAAGCATTCTCTTCGTATACAAGCACGGTACCTGAAGTCAGCATCTCCGCGCGTTCCTTGTCGTGTGGTCTTCGGCTGATGTGGCTTAGGCGTCCCTGCAGAGCGGCCTCGACAACGGTCATGGCATCCTTTGTGGTGTCCAAAAAGCCTTGCCATGTGGGCCTAAAGGCCGGTTGTGCCTTGACCATGTTGCCCGCGACATGCGGTCTGGGAGGTGGTGGAGTGTTGGTTGCAGTGGACAGAACATGGGAGGCGGCCGAAGGATGCCGTGATAGTCCACGTGACGGAGACTGCAGCTGTGGCGCGAAATTGGCGTAAATCGAGGGATCAAACACACTGGAATAGGCGGGTTGTTGTGTCGGGGCATTTTGTGACCATGCCCATGGCTCTGTGTCGGTGTAGCCGTCCATCTTTTGCATGCCAGCAAGGGACATGTCATTCCCAAAGGGAGGCATCGTTAGAGTCGATGCCCGGATACCTTGCAACATGGGGAAGGACAGATGCGGAATGCGGTTGCTGACACGGGAGGACTAGTTGAATGTTGATGGCTTGGGGACGTTTCGAAGATGCAAACGCATATACTAATACGATCAAGTTCAAGCTCAGCACCTGAGTAGGCAGTAGGTGAAAGGCTTGACTGGGGCTTGTTAGTACTCATTATATGAGTGTACATTGGAATGAAGAACTTTACCTATGCCGATGACTCGCAATAGGCCAGCAGTGTTACAGTGAATGTGAAGCCAATTGCAACTTCGACGTGGGATACGGGACGGTTGGCGGGGGCAGGCGCGTCGGCTGGATGGCTCCTTTCAAAGATGCAATGTCTTGGAAGCAGTGAAGCAAAAGGTCTTGTGATGAGGGGTCTGGTTTTTAGAAGCTCGTCACCACAGGAAAGACTCTATAGCAACAGTCAGATCAAATGATGATGCGAGAAGAAGCTCGTAATCCTGTAGGGGCAGCGAGATGACATACATGTACTGCAGATGTCAACGACAACTTGGAGGTAGATCGCCGGCTGAAGGTATGTACGAGATAGTGGTCCAGGGAACGGATCGGCTGTATGTATAGCTGGGCTCAGTATTGCGTGTCGGCGAATTGCAAAGCGACCAGGATGGTAATGTGAGCGGGTCCATGAACGATAATCAGGAGTGGAGGTGGTGGGTGCAAGTGCAACGGCGACATCCATGAGCAGGCATAGACCTGTCCTGACACAGAGGCGCGCTATCTGGGTTCTGACAGCCGGGAGTAGGCTGCTGGGGGGCAAATTGGCGACAGTGGCAGCAACCTTGATGTATGGGGCAAGTGTAGCGTTGGAGAATATGCACGGCTGCAAAGGAGCACAAAGGCAGTGCCTGGTGATGAGGTGCTTGGGAGCCAACCGCACGGCCTGTGAGCCCGGCACGCTACGACGACTGGCGGCTTGGAAGGCTTTCTTGCTTCGGCTGGCGGGCGGCGAGGATAGCGCAGCGATCGCCCTCTGGTGAGGCTATACTAGGCTCACTCGAGTGGGCTTCTGGGTGGGCTCTCGCGAAGCAGCAGCCCTGCTGAGGATGTTCGCCTCAAGCCCCATCTGCCCGTTCGCGGGTTCTGGACCATGAGACGATCAACGTACTATGGTTGGCAAGTACGCAGCCTGTGCGCTCCACCGCCCACACCCACACCCACTACCAGCACCGCACCATGCCGGCTAGCTGGCCTTTGAAAGCGCTCGACGAGGCCAGAGCCTGGCGTTAGAGGAGCACAAGCTCGGTATACCTGGACGCCAGGTGCAGATGAAGCAGCACGCTGAAACCGCCCAGTGGGCACGACAGCAGCGAGCGCTCAGGAACAGCCGTTCAAGTCTGAATGCAGGACGGACTAGTCGAGCAGGGCAGCGGAGGGAAAAGCAGGAGGAGAAGGCAGAGCAGAAAGGGTCAGCAGCGTGCAACAAACAGGCCCGAGATTCGGAAGCTCATCGCTGAGGCAAGATGCGGAGAAGGCCAAGAGGGAGAAAGCGCGCTGGGAACAAGGGCATAACGCGGACATCCAGCAGAGCGAGCAGTGAGCGAACGAGGCTTGGGATGGATCATGGGGCGGGCAAGCTGCAAGGCCCATAGCGGGCAAGCGTCGCGCCTTTCTCCTCTCTCTCCAAGAGCGCTTGAGCGCAGATAGGCCTGATGCTCGCGGATTCGGGAGGGTGCGCTATGTTTCACGCCTCGCGTCTGCACCCGATCCTGGCGACGACATGCTTGTATTTGTTATAGCTACTGTACCTCGTATGGATGGACCATATATGGCTGTAGGGACTGCAGTCTGCTCTAATTACTGTAGTGTGTGCTGGACACAGCCAGTCGCCCAAGTTGAGAGCTGATCTGTCAGTTTGTAGCAGATGGACACAGGCGGGCAGACGGGCATACTCTTGGTGGAGTAGCAAGCAGTTGCAGGTTGATGGTCGTCTGCGGATGGCGGATGGGGCCGCACCACACTGGCACACACACTGCACATGCGTGCAGGCAGCACACACAAAACACACATGGCCAGGAGCCCGAGCGACCGAGCGGCGGATGAGGTTCCGAAGAAGCTGTATGTGCAGTGTGGGCTCCAGAAGCAGTAGCAGAAGCAGATGCAGATGCAGAAGCAGAATCAGAAGCAGTAGCAGAAGCGGTAGCAGCGGCGGAGACGGCGGCAGTTGTTTGATGCCTGTGATGCCCCCAAAGGGTGCACACTGTGTGGATTTGTGTGTGTGTGTGTGTGTCTGTATCTGTATCTGTGTCTGTGTGTGTATGTATGCGATGGGTGTGCGTGAATGTAGACTGTTCGTCTGTGTGTGTGTGGATTTTTTGCTTGCTGAAGGCGGTGTTGGTGAGGTTCAAATTGGTGCGTTGGGTCCAGTGACGGCCGTAAGCGAACTAGCACCCTTCTCCGCACGGTAGCTGAACTAGAACTGAAACTATAAGCTAGCAAAGACAGGTAA